TTTGGTACATGAATAGTCTAGAAAAAATTGTTTGAAAAGCCAATGGGGTCAATATAGACCTATTGTTAATTCTAGGGTTAAAATTATATACAGTACCCATAATGTATTAATTGCTAGACAAAACTACAGGTTCAGTCTGTTTCAAAAATGAACTACAATGCTTATGATGTATGTTGACTGTGCAGCTTGTTAGGGAATAGTTGAATCTAACTGTCATATATAACTGTACTAATGTGATTCTTATTCTAGACCAGTAACTGTTTTAGTTTTCACAGAATAATTTCACCTAATAATTTTTCATACAACATAATTATCCAATAAACTTTCCATCTCACTATAAACCACTACTTTCAGAAACAAGAGTATGTATCCTGCTCATGATGATCCATCTACATCAGGTTCCATGTGATCATTTTTTAACTGTTTTTACTGAATTTTTTAATGCAAGTTAAAGGTTGTTATGCCAATATATGTAATAGATAATAAATTTGGTTTGGTTTGAATGTCACACAAAGCTACATGAAGGCTATCTACACTAGCCATCCCTAATTTTGTAGTGATAGACTAGAGGGAAGACAAACAGTCATTACCACCCACTGTCAACTCTTGTACTACTCTTTTACCAATGAATAGTTGGACTAACCATCACATTATAAAGGCTGAAAGGGTGAACATGTTCGGTGATGGGAATTTTAATCCATGACCCTCAGATTAAGAGTTGAGCATCTTAACCACCAGGCCATGCTAGGCCTCGATAAATAATAAGATGATTTTTTGTGTTTTGTTACAACAACGTGTGTTTACCAGTGTTTTTGAAGCTATGATAATGACCTAGCTGTTATTGTTAACGGATAAAACAGAATAAAAAAGGATTTTACTGATGCTTAACTTGCCCTCCCTTCAATTTAATTTAGTTTTAAAGAATAGCACATTTCATTAGTTAAGATAAATATACTGGTTAAGCTATTTGGAAGGTGATGTATAGTTTACACAAGTTGCTTTTTTAGTTTTCCTTTTCATCACTAAGGCTTGTTTTGTTGAATTTTGTGCAAAGCTACATGGGAGCCATTTGCACTAGCTATCTCAAATTTTAAAGTTCTAAACTAGAAGGGTGGCATATAGTAAACATTAGCTACTCTTGTTACACCAAATTGTGGATTTGACTGTCACTCTCATAATGCACCCATGGCTTCAAAGTTCAGGACATGATGTTTTTTGGCAGTAATGGGACACTAACCACAGAACTAAAGCCTGGCATGTTAAACACTGGCCACTAAGAATTTGATTAATTCTTTAATACTCTTCACTCTCTCACTATGGACTTAGATGAGGACATCTTGACCTCAAATTGACCTTTAGATTCCATACAATAACTTTTAATATGTTTTGTGTATTTTTACAAAAGTTTGCAAGCTTTCAGTAAGCATTAAAACTTTTTTATAGACAAAAAATCAAATCTATTCTGTTGGGAGAATCTGGTTGGGTCAGACAATTGATCTGCTACTGCATTCATCACCTGTGGAATATGGCAAGCTAATAGGGTGACATAATAGGAGTGATCCCAATAAAGGAGATCCAAGGTTTGAAAACAAGGAGTCCTGAACCAAGTGCCTTCTGATGGGAAAAGCAAGACATCACTGTGGAATTGTCAGAGTGAAGCCTAAAGATGTTCCCCTTAATAAGCCCAGAGCATAAGGCATTGCTGTTTGAAGAGTAAGAAGGACTAAAACATTGTGTAGGTAAGCTTTGTTGTCCATGCTTAGACCATAGAATTAATAAAGATATGATCTGTGGACGAGGTGGTAGCAGAGGAACCCATTGTCCTGATTTAACCACCCCTCGAGATCGAAGAAAGATCCTGAATAAGGAAACTGGAGAATCCAGTGAATCGATGTTTATGATCCCTTGGTTGCATAAAGCACATTGAAAAGATCTCTTGTGTGTTCATCCCAAAGGTATGAGGGATTTGAGTGATGACACATTCCCAAAAAAGAAAGAATGATCGTGTTGTGGGAGAAGGAGATGGGAGTAAGAGTCAGGCTTCCTGTTCCATAGCTGGATGGAAGTTGGCTAAACCAGAGTAAGATATGTGATGAAAAACAAATACCCAGACTGAGTACATATTGAGTTGGAGCAAGAATAGATGTCTTAGCTCTGAGAATGAAGCCTGCATTGGTTGTTCTGAAAGTAGAATGTGGGTGTGACATTCGGACACTTGATGAGATGGTGCCAGCAGCAACCAATCATCCATTGAATTGTGTGTGCACATGGCTAGGGAATGAGGGTGCCAAAGCTAGCTGGAAGGTAAGAATCTAGAACTGCAGTACCTGACCCTTGTGCACAAAAAATACCAAAAGTGGTGGGATCCACATGCACAATCCTAGTAAAAAATGCCAACTCAGATTTAGGAATGAGTCACTTGTAAACCTTGAAGAATCTAGGCATTGATATAGACAAGAAAAATCCAATATTGGACACCCATCTCCTATCTCTGAGACCCAACAACTGATGGGAATAAATCCCCAGAAGAACTAGCACAACACTCTCACTCTAATATTTATGATTTTTAACTCTCTCTACCCCTAGGCCAACCAAACTCTAATAGCCATAGATCTAAATTCTAAAATCTGAGGATCTGCGGAAGACAGAAACCCTACAGGTTTGGTGGATAATGGTGTTGAAGCTGTGAACTGCATGACTAATTCCAATTCAAGGACCTGTTGTGCCCATGGATCTGAGGGTAAAGTTACCTCACATTCAAAAATGTTCAGAGCCAAGCCCCCACAGACCCCAAAGGCATACAATAATAAACACCAACATTGCCAGCAGCATTCCAACCGAGCAGTTGAACCCGTGGATATGGACAGAATCTATTCTGGGTACCCATATACCAAGGATCTGATGTCAAGACCCTCGAAAAGGGGTGGAACTATGACCCTCTGTAGGTGCCAATAAAAGTTGACAACAACAGGGATGAATGTAGATGCTGACAACTGAACCAAGGAACATGCTAACAATGGTTCTAGTTCATCAGTAATAAAGTTGGAGATCCTGAGAATTTTCCAACAAGGTTTAGTGTTAGGAAAACAACACGTTAGATGTTAGACTTGTAAGCTCGTAGACATATCCCTGTCCCATCAGAGGACATTGATCTATTCAGGTGAACTACTAACTCCACCTTAGAACCCCTAATTTCAAGGAGTAGATGTAGTATTTGAGTCGAAATATATGTCCACCTAGTGTGGTAGGCTAAATCAGGTAGTTCTGACAACCTGTTCTGCCTCATAACTGAGCAGGAAACCTCCCTGCATTAAAGAATGCTTTGTTGAGAAAAAGTAATAACATTATGTGAATGAGGTGATTTTATACATTACTAGGATAGAGGGCGCACTGATGTAGGTGGAGAGAGACAAATATCACCAAAGGCAGTTAATTGGGTATAAAAGACTGGAGCAAGCAAGAAAAAATCAGACCAATGCTTAGATGGGCAAAGGATAAAAATCTGGCACATGAGTAATAGCTATAAGTTGGAGAGGAGGTATGTATGTTTTGTAATTAAGAACTTAAAACTTATAGAATATTAAACTTTGATTTATTAATTATGTTTTTATGCCTAGTTTATTCATATACCATGATAATAAAGTAATTTAATTACATTTTGAATGTAACTCTAAAAAGATGTAATATGCACACTTTGACCTGCCAATAGCAAGAGGGTTAAACATGCGACTACTATCTACTAAAAGTTATAATGTTTCTTTCACCAATTTCTAAGCAATTACATGCTATACTGTTAAAAAACTTAGAGCTGGATACAGGTTTTTTTTTTGTTGTGTTGATAAAGAAAATATCTTACCCATTTCAAATTTAAAGTCAAAGAAATAATTCTAGACAGAACATCAGAAAGTACAATCTTTATATAAACCAAATAACACAAATTATTCAGAATCATCATCAGTAATAGTATTTTTTTACTGAAAATCTAAGCATCACAGTCTTAATAAAAAGGACTGTAACAATATGGACAAAAACAATACAAAGTAAATGTTTCACAATGATGCTTAAAGGTACTGCAGGTAAACTCACATCAAAAGAAAATACAAATATTCAAGAAGGCTATGGTGTTTTGTGAATGAATTTTTGCATTTAACTGAAAAAGTAGAACATTAAAGTGTATACAAGTTATCATGATTTGTAGACCATCTTTATTATACTATTGTTTTTTATTAATATTTGAGATCACAAACTGATTAAGTAGTATTTTCAATTAGACAAGTACCCTACAGAAAGTCTCATAAGGCATTATAATATTGGATGTTTATTTTCATTGTTTTGATTTGCCATAGCCTTATGTTGAGTTCACTTGGTATATTCATTCTAATAGCAGAAATTCTCAAATTTCTTAACTTGTAAACATCATACACAAAACTGCAAACTATTTTTTAATTAAGCATTTATATAGATAATATTCATAAAACATACAATCTGTTGCACCCTTTCATAAAATTTTTATTTTCAACATGGGTTATTAAAAACCTAATGATATATGGAATAAATATGCAATAATTTTTCAGCACACTGTTAAAAAACAGTTAACTCAGAATTAATACTTATGCTGACATGATGAAGTCTATTTTGTAACAACATAAAGGCTTGAAAAAGTAGTTTTACGATTTTTTTATAAAAACTTAATAGTAATGGCATTCCATGAGCTAGGATTTGTATCAGAGATTCAAAATTCCCAATATTGAAATTTTAATAAGACATTTTTCTGAACTACAGAAATCCATCTCAAAAACCTTGGATGAATTTGTTCTAAGTTTTAAAATAATACTCTCTGGACAATACTTAGTGGAAACCTATGGAATTTAAAATTAGTAAAAATCTAAAAGGTTCATAATCCTCCAAACTTTTCTCCTTTCACAAGCCATGAGCCCTTCTTGAAATTTGGTGGATTAACCCCTACTATGACTAATCTTCAACCACTGACTACTACTCACCTTAACAAGGTCACTGGATTGTTCTCTGAAGAGTTGAAGTTCACTGAAACTCTTCTCTAGAGCCTCTTTCTGAGGTTCGTGTACAAGATATAAATGTGCATCCTTAGCTGACCTGAAAATATGATGTTGAAGTTTAGATGAATCTATTAAATATTCTCCTCTGTCTTAAAATGTATTTTATTTCAGCTTAATTACTATCCAGCAAAGACATGAAGGCTGAAGACACTTTTTCATTAATGCATGACCACCAAACACATTTTATATTAAACAACTATAAGTATCATGTATTGGTAAACATACTGAAAATGTTGATTAGCAGTTTCCACCACACTATTTTGTCACCTGATATTACAAAACTAACAATAAAATGAGCTACAAAAGCATACGTGACTCAGACATAAAATCTATAGGCAGGTTAACTCTCTCACTACAGACTTGGCTGAGTATGTGACCCCAAATTGACCTTTATAGTTTCCATACTATAACTTTTAATATGTTTTGTGTATCTTCATGAAATTTTGTGGGCTTTCAGTAAGCATTAAGTCATTTGTAGACAAAAAACCAGAATTTTATTAAAGTATTTTTACATAATTTTTCCATATATAAATGGAGTCAAAGTGTTGACAGCTCTGAGTGCAAAATGATTTTCATTATAAGATTAAAAAATATCAAATTTTATTTGCATTATCTCTAAAACCCCCTAAATAAATTTAAAATGTTTTTTTTCAGTGAAACATTATATTTTATCTGTTATTTTCTCTACCCAAACTAAAACAAATTCAAAATAAAAGCTAATTCACCCTTTTTTATTTCTAGAATGAGTTCAAGTTGTAATATGAAACTACATGTGTTTATCCTAAATAGCTTTAAACTCATAAGAGTATACATCTGTTTATATTTAAATTTTGTTTTATCACCCTTTGAACCATGTCTAATTAATGTTCCCACCACACAAATTGTATATCAGTTGACAAACGTGTAGCTCATATTACCCCATTGAGTACCTCATGAAAATGTATATTATTATTATTCTTTATTTTACCTAATTTAACCTAACAAATTTCTAACTTTTACATTGTAGTTACTTTTATAATAATAAATAAGGAATACACATGAAAAACAAGAAATATAGTACTTACCTGGGTCTTACATTTTCATTTCTGTTGACTGTCGATGAAATTTAACATTACTTTTTTATACTAATGATACTACCGCACTAAATAATTTTTTATTTAATTAAATAATGCACCAAAGAAAACAATAATAACAGGCAAAAAGCAGACAATGTCCCATAACTACCACAATTTTTCTGGCTTTCCAACTATGCGATAAGAGCTGTTAAAAATTCAGCTAAGCTCATCAATGTGTTTCCCATGGGAATAATATTTGAATTGAAAGCGAAATAGACAATTCTCTGTGCAGACAACAATATAATATAATACATCATTTGATAAATGAAAACTTTGGCTTTCTATTGGTTATAAATAATATAGTAATAAACATCAAAGAGAACTATTGGCAATTTCTGAAAGAGAGGATTTGGCAGGTGGGCATGACAAGAGAGGTCTGATTTTCTAGTTTATGGCTATATAACCAAATAAGATTGAAGCCCATAAAAATTATGCTTTGCTTGAGCAATGACAACATTATGCATTAAATGACATTTACATTTCATACTTCTTGGAGGGGTGGTATATAAATTAGAGAAAAGGGGATACCTATAAAGCAAATGTCACAATTTCCATACTGGAGAAAATTGATGATTTTTTTTTATATTCCCTTATAAAATTAAGAACTTAAAACTTATATTAAAATTTAGGTTATTAGCCACATTTTGATGCCAAGTTTATTCATTTACCATGATAATAAAGTACTTCAATTAAATTTTGAATGTAACTCACTCAAATCTCGTGACATGTACAGAAAAAGATGCCTGTAGCAAAAGAGTTAAACAGTCCACATACGTGATAGAGTGGTATTCTTAATGTATTGAAAAAATACGATTTAATTTTAGAATATATATGACATGTAAAATATCTGGGCAGATTATTCTGTCTATGTACATATGACAAAATAAAAACAACCATACAGCAATTTTACATACATAAAACCTCGCCCTTTTCCATCAAACATAGGAAAAAGGTTATACAGTTTCAAGTGGACAGTCTTAGTCATTTTGTCCAAGCACAGCTGGGTCACATTTCAGTACCGTAACATTAACAAATGTTTTATGAGAATAAATTTCCATGCAGCTCACATTCATAATGTTCATTAAAAAAAAAAAAGCAAAAAGATCTTGAAAGCTAGCTTATCACAAATACATTGGCCAACACTGATTTACATGATGGATGACAAAATTGTTATCAGAGAGGATCAAATGTCTTAACTCTGCTGTTATTGCAGCCCTTGGGACAACTAAAGCCACATTATTCAAATGCAGTACTGTCTACTTCATCAATAATGCTGTTGGTATCAGCAGGTCCATCTTCATTGTCTTCTATCTCAAGAGCTAGCATTGCAGTTGTTATATCAAGCAATCTATTTGACACCATTTTATCTGTTTTATTTAGAAACCTTCCCCATTTGCGTAGTGTTCCACTATTACATACACCACTGTTTTTGTTAGTGACAAACACGTTAGTTTACTGAAACATGGTCCAGTTTGTTCTCGTATCAATAGAGTTTTCCATTGAAAAATAACTATTGTAATCTAGTAGATTAGAAAGTTTTATAAATATGAAATGTTAACATTTTCCTTACCTGAAAATGTATTTCCAATAGATACCTCTGTACACAGTTTAGCTATCTTCCATGCACGTCTGCCAGAGCGATCCTCATGCCATTAGCTTTGAGGCAACTCCCACTTACTTTCATGTGAATTGCACTGATGCATGATGATGTCATCATGCCAAAAAAGCCTTCTACCAATAGGAGAGTGACACACCTCCATGTACAATAACTTCCCCTACACATTTGCACTTGTGGTAACTTCATTCTTCAATGAAGTGCACCGAAAGTGGGAATGGGTGGGAATGTGTGCAGAAGTATCTATGAAAAAGACATTTTCAAATTCTGAGATGATAACTCCACACACAGTAAAGCTAAAGCCCCACACTGAATTGGTGGAGGGGCTGTTGCAAATTGTACCCAGAAAGTGTTCAAAAGGAGCCTATGGAGTGTGACACCTGATGGCAGGGGCTCCATAAGGACACCCCGTGGGAGACTGCATCTTGTCTCTACCATGGTATACTTTTTGCCCAAACAATTGAGGGGGAAGAGGCAAATGAGCCCTATGTGTCACAGGGAGGGGCAGAATGAGAATATGACTGACTGAGTACTTGCACACAAGTGGTTGAATAACCAATATGTGTAGTGTGATTGGGGTACATTCAGACCATACCCTGTGTGTTCACCTCAACTCTACTGATAAATTCTATGGGACAGACTCCAGACTGCAGTGATATAGTATGATTTCACATAGTGTGTGTGCTCGTCTGAACTCTACTGTCAGTCTCAACAGGATGTACTCCAGCTGTGGGAGGAGGGCATCCTTGTTATGCAAAATGGATACATATAGTGTGTGCTCACTTCAAATCTACTGAACAGACACTGGCTGCAAGAAGAGGGCACAGTATTATAGTGTGTGCTCACCTCACTCAGGACTAAGCATCAGTCACCATAACCTGAGAATTCACAATAAAAATTAAAGCTTTTGAAACCATTTCATTTCATTAATGATGCAAAGCTCAATAAATAGAACTCAGATGAGAAATTTAAACACATCTGTTCAATACAATGCCAAGGAGAAGAATGAAGTTACCATGAGTGAAAGTGCACAGGGTGAGTTTTTGCACATGGAGATGTGTCACCCTCCTATTAGCAGAGGGTTTTTGTTGCATGATGACATCATCATGCACTAGCATAATTAATGGCTAGTGGCATGCAAATCTGCCTGGCAGATATCTGAGGAAGATATCTAAACTGTGTGCTGAGGAGAGTTATTGGACAGTAATTGGAAATTTTAATTTACAAGTTTGCAACTGAGTCACGCATAATATGTGGTAGTATATCGGGCTTATGATGGATTAGCCTATCATTGATAAACAAACTACTGAGCTTCCAAAAATTTCAATGATAATAGATATTTAACAATTTGAAAGAAAAAATAACAACAGGTAGCATTTGTGTGTATTTCAATGATTGAGTTGAGTTTCTAAACACATGCACACATTCCATATAAGCAAAACCCAGAATCACACTTGCTCTAGGCCAGCATGCATGGAATTAACAGTAGCCTGAACACAAAATTTGGTAGTTCTAGGCATTGGGTTAATGGATTTTTACACCCAATGTATAAACATAATTAAGCCACACAGAAAATATTTTTAATTTAGTTAGCACATTTTTTTTCAAATAAACATTTAAAAGTTGACATTAGATAATAAAAAACGAATTTTTACGAATTTATGTAGCAAGAATCATCATGTAGTGCCACTTAAACGATTTACATTAAAAATATCTTCATTTAGCCAAAAATTGCTTTAATGAAATTTTATTACACTTAACAGTCTAATAAAATTATCAGTGACTATATATAAATTTGTATAAAAACCAAACAACATAATTATATAGTGTATACAATGTTCTTGGCTAGTAAGTAGTTGAACACACACCTTCTAAACTGTATGTACTTTTCTAAAGCATTTATGAGGCACATATGGTTATTTTTTGGAAAATACAGAGTTGGAGGGGTTGAGCCATCTTTCAAGAAAAATGTCACTTCAGAACCCTTTCCTTTTTTCTTCTGTACACACTTATAAGACTTGAGATCAGCCACATCAAAGTTGATTGTTTGAGGCTTCTTTGTTGTTTCCAGCTTCAGCTCAATAGATTCTGAAAAAAAAAGAAAGAAAAAGATATCAATTCTTTAAAATTTCATGCTAAATAGCACATATAATAGTACCTGTGAAAACTAACATGATTGTTGCACATTAAATATTTTCAAATCTTTAAACAACTTTTTATTTTCTCTATTTCTAGCAAGGTTGTTACAGATACATTCCTTAAAGGTGGTCAGATATGAGCATAGTTGTACCTTAAAGTTAGCATTTTCCTTACCTAAAAATGTATTTTTGACAAATACCTCTTCACATAGTTTAGCTATCTTCCTCAATCCACCTACTAAAGACATTTGCATGACACTAGCCTTGAGGCAACTCCCACCTAATTTCACATGAACTGTGCTACTGCATGATGACATCATCATGCAACAAAAGCCCTCCACCAATGGGAGGGTGACACACCTCCATGCACATTAAGTCCCCCTTAAGTTCTTGCATTCTTGAATTTCATTCTTTGACAAGGCAAGTAAGAATATGTGCACTGGAAGTGAGGAGGATGAGTGGGTGGGAATGTGTGAACAGGTGAGTATGTATTGGAAAAAGTAAACTTTCGAGATGATAATTCCATACCACACACAGATTAACTAGAATCCCATGTTGATATGGTGGAGGGACTAGTGCAAAATTGACTTATATAAGCACCCTTCAGAAAGCATCTGAAGGATACCCATGAGGTGTGACAACCAATGGCAGGGGCTCCATAGGAGCACATCCGTGGGAGGCCATATCTTCTCTCCTCCAAGGTATACCCTTTGCCAATATAGAAAAAGGTAAAGAAGTCAAATTTGTGTTGCAGGAATGGGTGGAATTAAAACATAACTATCTGAGTACTTGCACACAAGTTGTCGGACAGCCAATATACGTAGTGTGGTTGGAGCATGTTGAAATCATACCTTGTGTGCTCACGTTAACTATACCATCAGAATCTATGGGACTAACACCAGCCATGGGAGGAGGGCACATGTGATAAATATCCGTGCTTACTTCAACTCTACCACCAGACTCCAGCTGCAGGAGGAGTGGCCATTGTTAGGTAATACAGGTACTTGTGTACGTCTCAACTCTACTATCAGACTTTAACAGGATTAACACCAGCTGCAGGAACAGGGTATGTTAGAAAACATCACAAACTTGTATAGAGTGCTCGTCTCAACTCTATTGTCAGATTCTATGGGACTTTTGCTAGGTGCGGGAAAAGAGCACATTAGTCAGGTATTATGGATTGAGACAGAGTGTGGTCACCTTGACTCTACTGAACAGATATAGGCTGCAGCAAGACGACATGTGAAAAAGATGCATATATATATATATATATATATCGATACTGTATAGTGAGTGCTCACCTCAACTCAACCAAACTCAATATTGGTCCATACATATCACATGCTAACCTCAACACTACTGAACAGACTCTGACTGCAGAAGGAGGGCATAGTCATTTAGTGTGTGCTCACCTAAACTCTACTGGACAGACTGGCTACAAGAGGAGGGCATAGTTGTTCAGTGTATGCTCACTTCAATTCTACTGGACATATTCAGGCTATAGGAGAAGGGCACAGGTGGCTTGAATGATGTATTTGATTTATATGAGGGATGACCCACACTCCATTAACAGTATCAACACCACCTCAATTCTCACCATATTGGTACTCCTTTTTCTAGAGTCTCCCATGCTCCATTCGACAGGGGGAGGGATTTGTGAAGGGGACACTCGTTTTTTTATTTACGCATGCCACAAGCCTTCTGTTCCCCCCTGTTGGAAATGAATGATTCCAACATGTCTCTCATGAAAATCATCATTTGTCACTTCTCCACCAACAGAAGCATGACATACTCATGTGATGCATGTGACTCCCTCCATACACCTTTACCAAACAATCTCTTTTAGGTTTGGCATAAGACATAAGCACCGAAGAAAAGAAGGGAGGAAGGGTGGGAAGTGTGAGAAGAGGGAAGTCCCTATCGGAAATACATTTTCAGTATAGGAAAATTATAACTTCTGATGTGGTACTTCCCTCTTCTCACAAGATTAGCTAGAATCCCACATTGATTAGGTGTTAGGACCGTGCGAGGGAATGACAGAAGTACTCCCCAAAAGCATCTGAAGGATACCCCTGGAAATGGGAGAGTCAGATCCGAAGATCTGATGAGGGGAGCCCCACCCTTTCTGAACAAGGTATATTCTTCACCCATCCATGAAATGTGTAGTAGATATGGGCAGAAAAAGAGAGTAGCACATCCAAGTGGGAGAGAACTGTGGCAGGATCCCAACCATGTAACTATATATGTAACTCAATCCCACAAAGTATAAAAGTGGGTAAAACAATGGATGTGCTCCTAGGTGTAGAGTGGTTAGGGCATGACAGACCGTACTTAGTAAGTCAATTACATCCAAAACCCATGCTGCTAGGAACCAACATCCATGCAGGAGTAGGATAAGGATTATACTGTCTTCACCGGAATCTAGAACCACTCTGACCCCTGAGCCTGACGTGTGTTCACTTTGGTCTATCAATCCGGGGACTCAACATTTGGTATCAAAAGGATGTCTATATAATATAAATCAACTCTCCCAACAGCGAAAGTGACCAGTACCCTCCGAAATGCAATAACATCCTCAGAATAAGATACAATCAGTGATAGCAAAAAGGACAGAACTGGAACAATCCCCCTTACCTCCACTGTGACCCACAACACAGAAGGAGTATGATCGAGGGAGAAATATAGACAACCATAAACATGTGTGAGGACTTGTGTTGATTGGTTCTACTCTAAATCCAAAACCCAGCTACAGGATACTGACATCCACACGGGGGTAGGATGAGGGCTCCCAATCGAAGGGGTGAACTGCAATTTGAACTCTCACTCCTTTGTGAGTATATATTGCATATTGGAGGATAGCACATCATCTACACCTGCAGAACACCACCAGCCTACTCTGCACTGTATGGTTATAGCATCTTTGTGTGGAACCCATTCAGGAGGGTGCCTCTGCAGTTGACCACCCTAGCAGTTTGGAACTGGAAAGTGGTAAGGACTTCCACACTCCACTAGAAGAAATGGGGGTGAGAACATAGTGGAGAGTTCAAAGGAACGTCATCACCCGAGACAGTGCAATGTGTGACCACGAATCCATATTTTGAAAAGCAGACCATACCGATTTATTCAACACAAGGAATGGCAGGGATGAGCAGTTATTCCCTTCTGCTTTACCCGTGCAATCCATGGGTAGTACGATCTGGAACGGGCAAGTTTATGAAGCAATTACATCGTGAGGTTATTCACCTACAAGCGATTTTGTGGAACACCTTATCTCAACAGTGAACATTGCGAAGCTATGGAAGATAAAGCACAAGTCAACATAGTTGTACAGTTCAGATCTGAAGAATACCTGGTCAGGCACCACTCGCTACAGAGCAGGATCCATATAATGAGTAAATGAAGCAAGGGCCTCTAAAAGGAAAGATATTAATATAAACTTACCCAGTTAAAGTCACAATGAAGTCTGAACAACAACCACACAAAAACCCTACAAAGAAAAAACCAAAATATGGTATAAGTAATGGGAGATGAATGTATTAGGTGTAGTCCACATGCCCGACTGTAAGATTTCTTCCAATGGCTACTGAAGACAAGATGCGAGGGAGAAGGTGAGGTGTCAAATCTGGTGAGAAGACACTAGGAACAAATTCCGAGAGAAAGAAGACAAGGAGGAATAAGCCAGTCGAACCCAATTAGTGAGGGTAGAAGAGAAAACATCCCGAACAGAGGATGAATGCCAAGGGATAGAGAGTTGGGAATATGTGCCACAGAAGGAAGCCATACAGGCAATATAACAACAAATAATACGGACCAGACATAGAAGTCTATCCAGATCAGGATGAGGGTAGAGATGAGAAATAGAAGGAAGGGAAATAGGCAAAAAGGAGGAGTTACCCTCCCTAGCCACCAAGGTCTTTGGGAGGAAGGAATGATCCAGATAAAGAATAGATAGGGTGGTAAAGTATACGTGAAACATCAATGGCAAACAAATCAGACCTTCGACATCCACAGGCTAAGAGGAGAAGGCAGTACATTTTAAAGGAAAGGTAAAACATTGAACATGAGGAAAGTGGTTCAAACGGAGGTAAAGTGAGGGAATGGAGGACCACATTAATATCCCAGTCTGGAAGAGTAGGGCATCTGGAGTGGGGGAGATGAAGCCAGAAGGAATGCATTAACATAGTAAGGTCAGTGGAAGCAAAAACTCGACAGTATTAGGAAATATGAATTGTATGGGATAAAGCAGCCCGGTAAACCAAGGACAAGGAAACTGAAGATCTCCGGTCGAAAAGCCATGTGAAAAACTCCACCACTCAAGCTACAATAGGCTGGTCAGCATGGAATCCCCAAGTCACAGACCAACTGCGGAACACTTTCCATTTATGCTGATACACCTCCATTGAAGAATGACATACGGAAAGCTACTCAATGGAAGTAACCTGATCTTTTCACCATGAAACAGATAAATGCCAGGCGTGAAGATGAAGGACGTGAATGGCTGGATGTAGAACTTGTGACCGAGCTTGACGAATAAGGGAGGGAGACAAAGGAAGAGGTACTGGAGGGAAAAGTTACAGTTATTGTAATTGTGGAATCCATGGTTGAGCTGGCCAACAAGGAGCAATCAGAAAGACAACACAGAGTGGTATGGATGAGAGAGATCACCCAATGAAGTAATTTGATAGGAGGATAAACTTAAAGGAATTTGTGGAACCAATCCTGGCTGAAGGCATCGACAGCCAGAGCATGAGGATGAGTTACTGGGGACTAAAAGAGGGGTAATTTGTGATCAAGGTATGTGGCAAAACTCTACCGATTGCAAAGCCACCAGAAAATGAGGGAATCTAAAGACCACTCTGTCAGATATTTTTGGTCAGGTTGGGAAAGACAATCTGCTGTGAGATTGAAAGTACTCCGAACGTGACATGCAATGAGATAAATGTGGTGCATGTGGGCCCAATATAGGAGATACAACATTCAAAAATAGAGAGATCTCTACTGGGTGCCCCTTGGTGATTGATATGTGCTACCACAGTGGAATTGTTGGAATGAATTATCACCAGACAATGTCTGGCAAGAGGATGGAAGTGATTCAAAGCCTGACAGACAACAAGAAGCTCAAAAACATTGATATGCAAAGACATTTTATCTACAGACCAATGACTTGAAGCCTCCTGTTGATTGATTCATAAACCCTAGCCCTATAGGGATGCATATGTGAAAAGATGTAAATCCAAGCAAGGAGGAGGTAGCAGGATGCCCACCAATGTATGGGCCTTGTCCAACCACCAATGCAAGTCATCCATCAGGGAAAGAGGAAGGGTAATGGGAGCTGACAAGGGATCCCAAGCAAGGTTCCACGGATCATAAAGAGCCCATTGAAGGGATCACATATGCGCATGACAGAGGGGGACCAGTGACATAATTGAAGACCACATCCCCAAAAGTGATAGAACCTTGCGAGCAGAAAGTGAGGGAGCTGAAAGGGTGTGGTGAACTAACAGTTCCATGAAACGAAGTCGAGGAGGAGAAGGTTGGGTCCGACTAAGATGAGTGTCGAAAAAAAACACCCAAGTGGATGAGATTTTGGGTAGGTAGGAGGAAGGACTTCTCCAATGTGATTAACTAGCCCGCCTGAGCAGCCACTAGGAGGAGCTGGTGAGTATGGCTGGCCGATTCCAGTGGGGAATGAGCCAGAAGAAGCCTGTCGACCATATAATGGTGGAACTTCAACCCCAGAGCATGAAGATGACAAGAAAAAAGCTTTGATCACCCGACAGAAAACATGAAGAGCAGAAGCAAGCCTGAAGGGTAGGGCACGAAATTGATAAACCACCCCATGATGGACGAACTGAAGATCCGTACGAGACCGTGGTGATAGAGGGATGTGGAGATAAGCATTGGCAATGTCCATTTTGGTTATCCATAAGTCCAGAGAATACGCCCACTGTATGGTGAGAAATGACTCCACAGTAAAACAGGGCAGTGGAATGAAACAAGTGAGGTGGGACTAATCGATGACAGGCCTCCAGTCCCTGGTTTTCTTGGGAACAATAAAGAGTATGGAATAAAAACCTGGTAAAGGAATTAGAACAGGTTCGATGGCCTGCTGAGATAGAAGTTCCTGAACCGCCTCCGGCAGATGCTCGCTGGTCATGGAATCCTGATGCAGAGGGAAGGAAAGGGGTATAGGAGACATCGGAGGTGAGAAAACAACGGGATCACGAATCCTTCCAATAAAACTTGAAGAACCCAATGATACTTGAGGAGAGGATCCCAGTGATGAAGAAAATCAGCAAGTCAAGCTCCCACCAGGTAGTCACCAATACTGTTGGCGATGTGACGTGTGTCGTCAAAGAAAACAATGAGACGAGGCATCCCGAGAAGAAGGGACAGGTAAGAGTTGGGAAGGGGTGGGATGGGAAACAGTAACAGGTGCCAAATTGGGCTCCGATTGAAACAAACGAGCAACAAGGTTGGAAAGGGTAGACCGTTGTTGTACTTATGCAACTTGTGATTCCAAATACTCAGAGATTGTGCCAAAGATGTATCACCATAGAAATGGAGCCATACGAAAATCCTGAAGATAACATTATGGTAAACAGATGCGAGTTAAGGTCGCATCACGATCTAGAAGGTCCCAACAACAGAGAAACATGTATGTAAAGCCAGAGTCAAAGATGACAAATGAGCCAATGTGGAGGAAAGAAGGGAAAGGATGTCCCCAGAAAAACCCTCAGGATTTTGATGGAGAGCCTCAAAGAGGAGATGGATGGGAGAGAGGTAATGTAAAAGAGTTGTGAGGGTAAGACGAAGGTAGGAAAATTGGGCATGGGTCAGACTTACAGGAGATTTGGAAACCACACCCCAAAGAGGTAAAATTGAACCTAACAATTGCTTTTCCAGAAAAGGGCAGTCTACACTATGTTATGCAATAGCAAACTGATCTGAAGCCCATGGGGGGTGAGGCATGATAATCCCGTTACTTAATTGTGAGGCAAATTGGTCTGCATGTATCCGAATATTCCAGAAGGTGGGAAAACCAAATAGGGATGGGAAGATTGGTGATGCAGTAAGTAAGAACATGATTCATAGGAATAGGGGCAAGGGATAAAACATCACATACCAGAGAAATTAAATCCAAAAAGACTGTATTAGGCCTAACTGACTTCTCAGGCAGGGCATGGGAAGGCACAGCAGAATCAGGAGGTGGAAATAGACAATATAAGTCCTTGTCTGCCTGAACAGGCTCAAAGTGTTTGGGAGGAAGTGGGGTAAGGTCTGGAGACAGAAGTTGACCCATGTAACGTTCAATCTCCCAGCAAATAAATGTGGCTATCCCCCTTCAGGTCACCTGCACCTGAAGCCTGAGACATAGCATTAGTCACAGGTGTGCCCCCCGAAGTGGTAACATGAACTTCGGAATTCATAATGAGGAAGAGTCAACCAATAATCAAAAGTAGAAATAACAATGCAACTCTAATAAACTGGGATTAAAGTGAAGTTAATAAACAGTCTTAATAGAAACCAGAAGTGAAAATAAATGAAGACCACTTCGTGAGTGTATTAAAAACAAACATGAAAATTTTAAACAAAGAAAAAGGAATGCGTCTGAGCACAAGCACTGCCAAATGGCAAGTGATAGTTCAGTAGAGGTGTATGGAGGGAGTCACATGCGTATGTCACACTCCTATTGGTGGAGAAGTGATGCATGATGATTTTCATGAAAGACATGTTGAAATCATTCAATTCCAATAGGGGGGAGCAGAAGGCTTGTGGTATGCATAAAGACAAAATGTGCATATAGAGGGGAGCATAGGACAAGAATAGTTAATCTTGTTAGTGGAGAGAAATACCGTATCGGAATTTGTAGATTTAAGAAATGCATTAGAACTTTCATCTCAATAAATAAGAACATGCAAAAACTGAAGAAATGTTCAAGCTTTAACTAGATGCAACACAATGAAGAATGGGTTCAGTTACAAAAGTTGAAATGATTCAATCTCGCTGTTAATGTGTCAAAGAATGACAACAGAGAATCAAAGTAACAAAATATCTAAACTTTTGTTTCCTTTTCTTTACTCCTGAAGAAGAATAATCAGCTATTTGAAATTGCTTGAGTTTCTGAGTCTGTTGAAATGAGACTTTTACTACACAAACAACACTTCTGCTTGTGAGTAACCAATAAAATTATGTATTTACTGGTGAAATAAATTTGATGAATTAAGCTATCAATATCGCACATCTTCCAAGTTTTATCTACACATCATTGTTTGAACACGTACAGAAATTTGAGTTCAATACAATATACTCAAATAACATGAAAAACTATATGATACTTGTGTGCACAGGTTATATGATAAAACCATCACTCACAATATCTATATAGTTTGTTCACATGTGCTTTTATTATAAAGAATGTTTAGTTACCACAACACTGGTTGCTATGAGGTTTATATCCTGCAGAGAAACCACTGGCTACATCCTCCCAATCAAGATTTTCTGTCTCAGGACTTGAAAGTGGCCTTCCTGTTTCATTCACTTCTTCATTGGCATGCCATTCTAGAACTCCTCCATAAGGCTAATCAAATATTAGATGGAAATAATTCATCATTCTCCAGCAGGAACACTCTTACATATTTAATTTTTTATTATCTCAAAATGCTTAAAGATTTGAAAATAATGTTAAGAGCTTTCTGAAATGATCTAATGAAACTGTACTGCTTTTCATGGTAACTAAATGAACATTTATTATTTTTACATGAATTAGGCCTTGTTAAGATTAGCATTTAGATATGGTCTCCTTTCTGCAAGGAGAATATCAATATGTTGGAAAGAGTACAAAATGGGCCATCTGAATAATACTTAGCTTAATTCGTTTCAGCTATAAAGAAAACCTTAAGAGTTTTGGACTTGTTTTCTGTAGAATGTAGAAGAAATATGGAAAAACTTGATTTAGGTGTTGAAAATTGTTAGGGGTTTGAATAAGATTTGATCAGTCTTCCTACACATTGTTTGTTTAAGCAGTGCAATGAAAAGGTTGTAAATACAAACTAAAATATTAGAGGTAATAGGCTGAAGCACAGATGGAGACTTTTTTTATTATTATATATATAAACTTAGGAGATATTTTTTTGTGATGATGTGGTAAGTACAGTTTGAATGAACTATTTTAAATTAAAAAATATGAACGATTAAATAAATATGAAAGGCAGATTATGAAAGTTTTCCTTTTCTGGCTTAGAGGCGATCTTGATGGGCCAAACAGTCTTCTGTTATCTTGTCTTTTAAACTATGTCCTTAGTATTGTAAACATTAGCTTGCAGATCAGCTTTTAATTTTGTTGTAGCCAACTCTTGGATCCATGCAACTATCCTGATGAGTACACAGCTCCATTTTATTTCACAACACACATTAGAGCACTAGTACTTTTCATGCAATCCAATAACTAGTAAATATAATTTTTAATTTCTTATTAAATGTTTTTTAGTAATTTTTTTTTCTGTTGGTTTATTTAAGACTTAAACCTATATGATAAAATATATGAGAAAGGCTACTGAAATTCCCTTGTTACTTTTTAAGGAAACCTATGCATTCAATTTCAAATATTAAATTATACATCCAACTCCACCCATTTGGCTTCTTAACCAAACTAACAACCTTGTGTCAGGAAATTGGTAATGGTAATTTGGATATAATTTGTTAAAGAACAATTTCAACAGACATCTTGTATTACCTAAAGGATATCATTTCATAAGCATGTTTAAAAATTCAAAATCTTTTCTTTTGAATACATGATGAGTTAATGCTATGGCTAAACAGACCTAAAGCATCGTTTCCCAATTAATTGGCCTATAAGTATAAAACTCAGTGTTGAGTCATAATACACTTGAGATAGAAAACATATATATAGCATGCGATGTTATATCACACTAGACTACAGGTTAGTTTATTCCAATTCAATTATTTAATAACTTCTATCAAAAGATCTGCATAATTCACATGAAATAGGAGAAAAAAATAGTGCATGTAATGCTATATGACACTAGACTACAGGTTATTTTATTCCAATTCAATTATTTAATAACTTCTATCAAAAGATCTGCATAATTCACATGAAATAGGAGAAAAAAATAGTGCATGTAATGCTATATGACACTAGACTACAGGTTATTTTATTCCAATCCAATTATTCAATAGCTTCTACCAGAAGAGCTGCTAAAATTCTACAATAATAATTGTCTTAATTATGAGCAACAAGCAAACTATGAAAAGTTTCTGTGACCACTCTGCCCTAGGTCAGTATTTGGGTACTCTCAATGATTGCAGTTTTCAGCCATTAACCCAAGAACACACATTCAGTGAAATTATCAAGCACCAAAGCAGAATTGTCATACGTAAAGCTTCAAGTACCATGTCTATTATATCTATTATTATAAAATGATAGATAACTTTGAAAGGTAAGGATAAAGAAAGTTATTCATAATCCATAACTATTATGTTAATTTAAAAAATCTATTTTCATAATATCCTTATTGAAGGTATTATTTATATTGTACTTACTACAAAATTGAGAAATTTTATGTGCAACCTATTTCAATACATTAGAACATATGTGGGTACTATTGCTAAAGGAAGGCAAAGGAGAGAGGAGGTTGAAGAAAACAAATCAGAGAAAGGTGACCAGTTCTTAAAAGTGGAAAGTGGGTTTAAAAGATTTTAGCATTGAACTTGAGAAAACTTAAGATAACATATAATTTTAAATCTCTGTGGTGTGACAAATGCTTAGCCTCGAGTTGGAGTGTAACGTTATTATAAGAATGACTAATTTCAATAAAAAAACCTAATAAGTTGCCAAATGTTGATGATATGATTTTTTTTTAAATTAACTTCTGAATAATGATAACAAACTTTTAATGACAATAGCATGTATTAAGCTTAAACTTTCATTAAATGCAAACATCTCTGAATATTAAACCTAAAACTAATATAGTCAGAAAGTGCAAGTAGGTTACTTCACTTTTCTGATCACATAACTTATTTCATGTTAAAAGTACAATAATCACCTTTATAGTAAATAATTTGAGAGCAGAAATGGAATGTTTCTGAGTTAAAGAAGAAAGTTTATAATAATATATCAACTACATCACATCAGCTATATTCAGTACTGATGAGGCATTTTGCCCAATACCAGTAGTGGTGAACTAGACGAAGATGGTGAAGTTTAATTTTTATCAATATTATTTAAGTCATTACATATCTGAATTAGGAGTAATGATTTATTAACCACTATATTGTTTAATCTTACTTGAATTAGATGACAGCAAGAAATGAAATAGCCACAATATAAGTTAGTAACTTTACCAAAGAAGCAAAAATGAGAAAATACAACTTAGCCTAAATTTTAGTAACCTTTTCTAATTACTATATTTCAGTTTTAGTTGTTAATAGATGTGATATTACATTACATTAAGAATGAATTTTGTACTTCACATTCTTCTTTAGGTAACCCATACAGGTTTCCATTAAGCAGTGCATATGATAGCATTTCATCTGTAATGCTTCAATGCGGATAGAACTTTCATTCAGCACCACAGATCATAGGTCAGTTGGATTACAACAGAAAAAAAAGATTAGCTTAATGCTATTTAAATGTAAAGTCCTTCTTTATTGGCTCTCAAGTCTTATGGTGCATAATACCTAAGCTAGCAAAGCATGATATTATATAACAATATGACTGATTCTACAAGTTCAATATGAATTTCCATATTTAAAAAAAGTACAGTAGCATTTTAACCATACTTTATATGTAAACAAATATCTTGAAAACATTAAACATTATAGCTCATCAGGTTAGATGGATTAATCATATATGGTCTGTTATGAAACACTATAACAGTTGTTTGAGGCAATATGTCTCATGTTATATGCATAAAGTGCAGATGAAATGCTACTGTATGCTCTTCTTACTTGAAACACATTTTGGCTCAATAAAAAACAATGCACTTAAAATTTTTACCAATCTTATAGCGATGTAATATCACAAATATTACCAACTAATAGGTCATGCTTTTCTAGTCTAGACAATATACACTAAAAGTCCACTTAACTTTTTGCATTTCAATGTAAAATTATAATATTCATATAAACATTTCAAAGCATGGAATTTTCATACTATAGTGACTATCAAAACTGAATGTCTTGTTTGTAATGTCACGTATGTTCAAAAACAATAACCCTTAATATTATGTTATTTATGAAAAATGTATATAAATCAATCATAGGGTAATAACTTGGATATATTCACCTGCTCCGAAATAGTCACTCTCCCTGTGAATATGGGCTCTTTGTCTTTGTGAGGCCCACTGACATACACACACACACCATCATGAACATAGGTTATCTAGAAAAACAAATCACTGTATATCAAATGTATATAATCTTTTTAAGTCTCAAAACCATCTGATATTTCATATCTTACAAAGAATTTTACATAAAATTCAACACTCTTATTTCTGAAAGCTATAAAGAATAACCATGTGTTATTTGCTGTTTTCAAATCTCCATAGGCATAGCATAGAAAAACAATATGCTTTAATGCCTACTTCACTGATTTTAAATTTTTTTGTAATAATTTGATTATTCTTTTCTCAAAACAATTCTTTTTTCACTGCTACATTTCAGATAAAAAATTTTTAGTTTTTTCTAAATACACAAAAAAGAAAAAAACACATTTTAATATTTCATTACTTATCTGAAACTTGAAAACAGTAAACTAAGTTTGAATGAGAATGTCCTTTCTTCATGGTGAAATGAAACTTCAAACATACATGTGGTTATTATCACATTTTTCAAGGGTAAAAGAAAGGTTATACGAGGTGTTACACATATTTGCCCATGGCATTGAAAAAATTAAGTACAAAGGTTGGAACTAGGTCCAACATTTATACATTTTGAGGTACAATTACTTAATTGTGCGCATAAAATAGACATCTAATGTTATCATTTTCCTTAGCTGAAAATGTACTTCTGATAAATACTCACTTCTTCACACAAAAAGCTATCTTTCCCATATGTCTGCTTTAGAGATTTGCATGCCACTAACCTTTAGGCAACTCCCACCCAAACTCATGAGATCTCTCGTGATTTGCACTACTGCATAATGATGTTATTTTGCAGCAAAAACCCTCCAACAATAGTAGGGTGACATAACCTCCCTACATGCTAGGTCCCTCTATACTTTTGCACTTGTGATTTTCATTTTTTGACAAGGCAAGGAATATTAAGTTGCACTGCAAGTGGAGAGGAAGGGTGGAAAGAGGTGAGCATCTATTGGAAATACATTTTCAAGTAAGGAAAATGTTAACTTACGAGGTAATACACACCTCTTCACACAGAAAGCTAGAATCCCACACTGATATGGTAGAGGGTTCAGTACAAAAGTTACCTAGATGAGCTCCCTGCAGAAAGTACCTGAAGAAAAACCCACGGCAGGAGATCCACAGAGGTACGCACATGGTACACAGTCTCATCTCTTCTAGGGTACACTCTTCACTCAAATTAGAAGGAAGGAAGGAAGAAGCAAGTAAGCCCAATGTGTTACGAGTATGGTGGATGGAATAAGAACAGGGCTGTCCAAGGACTTACACATAAGAGGTTGGAAAGCCAATATGTGTAGCATGATTAAGGCTTGTTCTGACCGTACCAAGTGCTCACCTCAACTCTACCGTCAGACTGATTGGATGGACGCTGGCTGTGGGATGAGAGTACTGAACACATACCACGGTGTCTTTGTTGGCATATGCAGGAGGATGGTATGAAATGTTTGTAAGTGTTCACCTCAACTCCACAAAACAAGATTATTACAGGTAGTTGGTGGGTCAACTCCAGTCCAAAACTAGGTGGTGTTTTCTAGTCTGTGGTAAGAGGAGGGTCCCAACAGGTCATCACCTCATGACCAGGAAGCAGAAAGAAAAAGTAATTTTCGTTTCAACAACCAGAGTAGGGCACATGTCTGCAAACCCAGTACACAACCAACACCAGGCCACCCGGGAACCTGATATCCAGGCAATGGTACGAAGGGGAATGCAACATGGTGGGTCAATGCCAGTCCAAAACCAGTCAGCATGAGGAATATTTTGTTTGGTCCACACTAAGAAGAAGATTCCAACCAACCACATATGTGGACTTGTGTGGTCTAGTCCTACCCCAATCCAACACCAGACCACCTGAGAACTGACATCTGGGTGGTAGTAGCATGAGGGACTGATTTTGCCTAGTCCTACCCTGATGTAACACCAAACCATTTTGGAACTAACATCCGAGATGCAATAGAATGAGGGATTTCTGTGGGCTGGTCCTACACTGTTCCAACACCAGACCACCCAGGAACTGACATCCTGATGGCAGTAGGATGGGGAACATCTGTTGGCTGATCCTACACCGATCCAACACCAGACCACTGAGGAACTAACATCTAGGTGGTGGTAAGATGGGGGATGCTGGCATGTTATGAGTACTACACTGACAGTGTCACCACCACCCCAATTGGGGTTCTTTGTTCAGCCCCAGCTATTCTGTTTCAATCAGTGAGGGTTCTCCATAGTCTACTGCCCCAGCAGCTGTAAGTGGTAAGGGTCTCCTGTGATCCACTTGAAGAAGGGGGGGATTCATGGTGGAGAGACCCAGAGAAATGGCTGAACCCCACTGGTCACCTGCTGGATAGATCTTTTACTTGAAACAGTGCAATGGGTAACCTCATAAACTTATTTTCAAAAGCTAGCAAGCGCAAGTCATGGAAGCAGGCAAAACACCCCTGTGATAGTCCAAGGAATAGGTACAGTCTGGATTGGACAGTCGACAAATATAAGAATACCTCAAGTGGTCTTGCAGAACACACCATCTCAACAATGAGTATATATAGAGCCAGGGTGGATGGTATGAGCACTTTCCATTATCCTGGCTCAATGCAGAATTTTGGGAAATAAGTGTACCCTGAGAGGCAACACCAGCCATCTGGTGGGATCCTTTGTATCAAAGCTGCAGAAAAAAGAGAATGTACTCATGTGACTAAGGATGGTGAGTAGACTAGAGGAGGGAGAATGGAGACAGGCAGTAACCCTCAGCAGACTTGAGAGCCAGATGGTGAAAATAGTAGGCAATAAAGGTAGGAGATGCAGTCCCCATTCCAGTCCAGAGGATCTGATCAAGCAGCCATCGAAAACAAGAGGTGAGGTAAAGGTGAAATGATGGATTTGTTGAGAAGAAATATGCAAAAGGCTGTAGGAATCGACCCCATGAAAGATTAAACCAAGTAGAGTAATTGGCAGACTCAGCCTGAAAGGGTAAATAAAGACCAGTCCCTGGAAGAAGAAGAGTCCCAGGGAAGAAAACAATGAAGACTAGAGCCATGATTGATAAGATGTGGGCAAGATAGTACCACATGGCACAAACAGATGATCTGGGTCAGTGTTGTTATAGAGGTGTGAAACAGTTGGGAAGGAAATAGGGAAAAAAGAAGCAGTCACTTTCCTGGGCTGTAGAAGTCTTAAGGGGGATAAATCAGTCCAGATAAAAGGGAAGGTACAGGAATAGTCTAGAGCATAATGTCTGAATGACCACCAATGAGGAGTAAGAGAAAATGTGCCTTAGGTGAAAGGTGGTATAAAGAGGTGGCTATTGGTTTGACAAAAGCTTGGGGAAGAGCATGCAGAACGACATCCAGGTCCCAATTGGACATGGAGCTCAGTGGAGAAGGAAGGATTGAAACAAAATGGAAAAGACTAGGGAAGAAAACACACTGCAATATTGGGAAAGGTGAAAAGTGGTAGACCAGGCAGCCCAATAATCGGCAATGGTGGAGACAGCCAAACCTTTGTCAAACAGTCAAGTAAAATGGGAAGAGAGATGTTCTGAAGGAAGGTGATGATGGATGGACCAATGTAGAAAAACTTGCTGGTAGATGAACACTAAGAATGAGAAAGGAAGAAAATTACCCAAGGGCAATGGACCAGACAATGCCAATGTGAAGATGGAGAGACGTGCTTCTTTGATAGAATAGCAATGTTTAAGGTTCATATGAGCAAGAATTTGGGATGTAGAGGAAGAAGAGGATGGGTAGACAGAAGGCAAAGAAGAGAGAACAAAGGTTGAGCCAGGTGAAGAGGTGCCACCAAGAGAACACAACGAAAAAGTGTTATGAATCAATACCAGGACCAATGGTAGAAGCAGGAGAGGTGGGTAAGAATAAAGGACAGATGAGAACATTCCAAACTGAAAGCATCAAAATCCAGGGCTGAAGGATGGGGGAACAGGGGACCAAAAGAAGGGGAGCTTGGAATTGAGGTATGGCAAAAAACATCAATGAGCAATGTCCCCAGGAGAGACCATAACCATTGAAAAATCTGAAAGTGAGGAGACCATTCTGTGGGCAGAACACATTTCAGCCAAGAGAGTTGGTCCGCAATGAGTTCATAGTGCTCTGAACAAGACATGAAATAAGGCAAACCTGTCAGGAATTGGCCAAATAAAGAAGTTTGAGGGTTTGAAAACAAAAGGGCTTGGATCTGGTACCTCCTTGATGGCTGATATAGAAAACAATGGAGGAATTGTTAGAATGAACCAAACCCAAATGATCCACCAAGAATAGTAGGAAATGGGAACATGCCCTATGCATTGCCAATAGGTTGAGTACATTGATGTGAAGACTTTTCCTGGGTCCAAGTGCTAGTTGGTTAGTTGGTTGACATTTTTTGGCATAAAGCAACTAGGCTAGCTGCACCATAAACTTGTTCAAAGATGCCCCTCACCCCGAGAAGTAAGCAACTGTGAAAAGATGTAAATTTGGTATGGATGGAGGTAGAGGTACTCCTACGGTACTATTGGAATGGTCCAGCCACCAAGAGAGGTCCATGAGCAGAGGAGACAAGATAACCACTGTGTTGAAAGGCAAGACTTGAACTGGAATGTATGTTCCTGATGAACGAATCAAAGGAAATGTCTTGAAGACTCTGTGATGGGGATATAAACAGAACATGTTCAGTACCTCGAACTTGATCATCCATCATCCAAAGGCCAGATGAAAACAACCAGAGGATGAAAAAGAAGTTTCTTCCCTACTAAATTAAAGGACAACCATGTAGCAATTGAGAGAGGAAGCTTGGTGGCTGGCTGTAATCTCCAGTCTTCTTGGAGACCATGAAGAGGCGAGAGTAAAACCCTATTGATAGCCTGTTTATGTAAGAGATCTAACACTGTGTTTTCCAGACTTGGAATATAGACATAATCTGAAGAAAGAGGGAAGTGAAAGATGTGTGGGCTGAGGCAGAGAAGTGGAGGGAGAAGCCATGAGAGAGGAAAAGTGTGACCCATCTGTCTGCAGATAGGTATACCCAAAGAAGTGCA